CTTTCAGTCCTGGCTTTAACTTTGTCTTCCCATGAGCTTAACATGCATTCGACGTTTATCTTTAAAATTACATCTGTATTTGTAGTTAATGTAGAGATCTTTTCACTGATAACTTGAGGGAAAGTGGATTTCTAAAGAGTTCAATGGCAAAAAATCAGCCATTGAAAACCCTACAGAGCACAGTTCTACTCTGACACAGTTGGGGTTGCCATGAGTCGGAGTCAACTCAATGGCATCTGGTACACTTGCAGCAGGCCAATTATGTCCTCTGAATGTATCAACTTTGTATAAGAAATAATGATATAACCATATTCTCCAGTCAACGTATTCAAAGTGGTTCTCCCGTAGAAATACATCAATTCTTTCAAAGACCACATTAAGTGTTCCTGCCATTCTGTGATTCATCAAGATGGTAGTCACGCAGGCTCACAGAGGAAGAACACGACAAGAAAGGGCAAATCTTCTCTTTCTGGAAAACATAAACAGCTTCCTATTTCTGTAGTTATAGAAGATTTATACAGTATGGTTGGATTCAAGACACTGGGCAGTTCAAAAACAGCATCAGAATAACAGGAGACACTGGGTTGCGTAGAGAAAATACCAAGTAATTTATCATTAACTTTGGTTTTTAATGGCTGGGTCAGATTTTCACCTGCTTTAATACCGCCAGTTGAGGAAACCATTATTTGCAAAGAGAAAGGCGCAGTTACCCAAAGTTGAGGTTGGCTGAGGTGCATTTACATTCCATTGTCAGCTAGATCCTTACCCCGTGGAATGCCTCAGAAAGGGACTCAGGCCATGCGGAGGCCGGCATGCTTTGACCAAACACTGCCTTGGGCAATCATACGTTATACATTCCTTTATACATTATATAATGTATAAAGCTTCTATATTATACATTAACTTTGCAAATCTTCCCACTCCACTGTTGCCCCGTCGAAGTCACTTAAGTGAAGGAATTCACTCCTATTATAACTTCCAAACCAGGCATCCACCATCCAGGTGACTGATTTACTTCCTCACACTCTCATTGTCTTCCTCAGTGGTGAGCTGGGGACATGTGTGATACAGTCCATAACGGGTCTGCCTTGCCATTGCACATCCACCCACCCCAAAGGTCCTGATTCGCTAGGTATGCCACAGGGCCAGGGAATCTGCTTCTTGAGGGGTCTCAGGAAATACAAAAGGAGGTCACAGTTAAGGAACCCCATCTTTAAAACCTGAGTCACTTAAAAGCCTCTTGCCCAATAAGTGCTTGAAATAAATTTAATCCACCTTCATGTCTGTTAACCCGTTCTTTTATGGAGAGACTGTCCCTACGGCTTACCCTGTGAACTTCTGTATCTCATCAGGAAAATCTTCAGGCAGGCTAAGCTTCTCTTAATCAATACCATTGGGGATATTGAATTGAAAAAGAGAAAACTAATTTTGCAGCCACATGGGCTGTGGGAAAGGGGGACTATCTCATATCCCAGAGTCTTTTATTTAAAGCTTATGAAGCATCAGAGCCGCCAGTCCAACTGTCAGAGTGAGAACATACAGTTATCAACTACACCCAGGCTGGAGAGAGGAGGGTGAGAGGCGCCACAGGCCCCGTGTTCCTCTCTCCAGCCACTCCCAGCATCTCCTTGGAATGGAAAGGCGGTTCACGCAAGGTGACAGGGATGGCCCTCGAACTGCCTGGCACCGGCCAGACTTCACTTAACGAGTGTTCAGAATCACACTCAGCATGGAGAAATCCACTCTGACCCTGGAAGTGTGCCCCCTGGCACACACTCACTTACATTTTTACTCAATTACTATTTCTAAGAACAGAGACAAAAAAAAAAAAAAAAAAAATTGCAGAGCCCCACTGCTCAGCAGCTCTGCAGGGAAGGCTTGATGGGGGCCACAGAGTTTTCCCCAGGTGGGGTGGAAGGCTCCCGCCGCAGGGGGATCTGGTTGGAGCCTGCACCCCATCTCCCTCTCTACACCCGCAGAAACGTTCAGATTTTCCCAGACCCGCTGAAGAGCACATCCAATGTTTTTTGCCCAAAGAAAGAGGGAAAACTTGTAGCAGTTAAGTGACTGAAAGAAATTCCAAGTGGGAAGGAGTGTCTGCAAAGAAAAACCACCCCAGGGACCAGGGTAGACCTCGCAACTTGTTTACTATGGGAGGAAATGATGAGGAGAAAATTAGTCCAAAGTAGTAGGTAAGAAAGTTATAAAATAAATGGGACAGGATTCCAAAGGAAGAGTAAAAGGAAGGGAAAGATGTTTGGGGTCTTGTGGCATGGTGGAGAGCACCCAGGCCAGGGCTAAATTCAAATTTTGGACTTGCTACTAATAGCTCTGTGACTGGGGATAAGGTATTTACCTCTCCAAGCCACAGTTTCCTGAAAAATGGGGACCATCATCCGTGCCCCACCCGACGCTGGTAGGAGGATCAGGACGCTGCGCTGTGTCTTCAGTACCAAGGACGTGGGGGTATTCCGCAAATGTTTTCCATCTCCCATTTCCTGCCTTTTCCCTTTCCAAAGAGAGCTAACCGAAAAGAGCGGACTTTTAACTCCTTGGTTTAGAAAGTAAAAGAAAATTAAAATTTAGAATCTGAAAACAAAATAAATCTGTCTCATATAAAACCAAACCCATTACCCTGAGTCAATTCCAACACATAGTGGCCCTATAGGACAGAGGAGAACTGCCCCATAGAGTTTCCAAGAAGCAGCTGGGGGATTTGAACTGCCAACCCTTTGGTTAGCAGCCTAAGCTCTTAACCACTGTGCCACCGGGGTTCCTTTAAAGCATGGGTTGAATCTTTCACTCTTTTTATTCACGTGGCAGCTTCTAGAAACCCTGAGACTTTCTACTTTAAAATGAATGTATATTCTCAATAGGATATGAAGCCTTGGTGGCACAGTGGTTAAGATCTACCACTGCTAACCAAAAGCTCAGTTCAAATCCACCAGCTGCTCCTTAGAATCCCAATGGGGCAGTTCTGCTCTGTTCTATTGGGTTGCTGTGAGTCAGAATCAACTCAACAACAATGGGTTTTTGGTTTTTTCATTCTCAACAGGATCAGCTCTTTCTGAGGAAATCCTAGTTTCAAAACCAAAACCAAACCCACTGCCATCAAGTCAATTCTGACTCATAGCAACCTTACAGGACAGAGTAGAACTGTCCCACAGGGTTTGCAAGGCTGAAATCTTTATGGAAGTAGACTGCCACATCTTTCTCTTGAAGAGCAGCTGGTGGATTCAAACTGCCAACCTTTTGGTTACCAACCAAGCTATTAACCACTGTGCCACCAGAGCTCCAATCCGTTTCTAAGAAAAAAAAAATTGCCGTCTCATAGCAACCCTATAGGACAGAGTAGAACTGCCCCAAAGGGTTTCCAAGGATTGGCTGGTGGGTCCGAACTGCCGACCTTTTGGTTAGTAGCCGAATACTTTAACCACTGCACCACCAGGGCTTCAGTCCCAGTTTAGGCCACTGTAAATAAACTATACTGATTTCTGAGAAGCAAGGTTGTTGCTGCTGTTAGCGCTGAGTCGGTCCCAGACACATGGCCACCCCATGCACAACAGAACGAAATGCTGCCTGACCGTACACCTTCCCCATGAGTGGCTGCAGACTGGACTGTTGTAATCCATAGGGCTTTCGTTGGCTCGTTTTTGGAAATAGATTGCCAGGTCTTTCTTCCTAGTCTGTCTTAGTCTGGAAGTTCCACTGAAACCTGTTTAGCCTCATAGCAACACACAAGCCACCACTGACTGACAGGTGGTGGCTGCACATGAGGTGCATTGGCCAGGAATCGAACCCAGGTCTCCCACGTAGAAGGTGAGAATTACAGCACTGAACAAATTGCAGAGTAAAATATCCAAGTGCACGAGGCTTCTACTATGGTAACAAAAACATTCCCTTCGTCCCCATCAGGGACCGCCACCCACGTTTAGAATCAACATAACCCACACCTTCTCAGGGCCTTAAAAATGCCGAGTGAACCCATGCCAGGCTTCTCCACTCCCACTTTTCTTGAGCACAGTGCAGGGACAACTTGGGCCACCGAATTCCTTAAGTGTCGGGATCAGCCAAATCCTATTCATCCTTGTGGTCTCATTGCATATAGAAGGCACTCAATAAATGCTGGCTGAATTGCTGAATGTTCCAAGTCATAAAGGGGTGGAGATCTCTGGCACTGGTGCCCTCAGCCTAACACGAAGCACTGGCTCTGCGGAGTCTGCACTTGGCGTTAGGGTCAGAGCGAAGTGGTCTGCGCAGTTAGCAACGCCCCACATCCAGTCAGGTGGGGGCCTGATCCACAACAATTCATTTTCTCATGCAACACAGAAATATCAAAATGAAAGTCAAAAATAACGGCATTAGTGTAACTCTCCCACAGGCCTCCCTCCAAAACCTCCAAGGAGAGAAAATCTCCTCCCACTTCAGTTCAAGAAACATTAATTAATGTAATCAATATCACTGAATAATTGGTGTGGAAATTGTTAAATGGGAACCTAATTTGCTGTGTAAGCTTTCGCCTTAAACACAATAAAATATTAATTTAACAAAAAATTAATTGAGCAACTACTTTGTGCCAGCAATAACAATATAGAAACAAATAAGGTACAGTCCATGCCCCTCTATCTAATGCCACAGGTTGACAAAAAGGGGACCTTTGACACTCAGGTCAAGCTCTTCAACCCTCCAGAGAGTGGCCTCCATGGGGTCAGGAGATCAGTATTTCAAATCACCCTGTAACTCTTAGAACACATATCTCATATACCAACAATCCATTTATTTTTTCACATACTGCAATCAAGTCATCATATTACTTCAAAGCTACTCATGGATTTTCTTTTGTAAGCTCAGAATAGAAAATTTAGGGCACCTTTGTGCTTGCTCAGTGTTTCCGAATTCTCTTTTGCCCCTGACCAGTTAGTTCCCCACACGAGACAAATACTAAAGATGGACTTGATATCACTATGTCAAACGAGGTATAAACAGACAAGGATACTCACCAAGGTACCCACAGAGCACCTGGGACTGTCTGGAACACAAGCTGCCCACTGAGCCAGAGGGTGTTGTAACAACTGGGCAGACAGCTAGGAGTTTTAAAAAGCACAGGCATTAGCTATTTTACTGAAGAGATGCCTTGCAAAGAGCTACACAAAGATTCAAAGCAGAAGAGGGACTCACCGGGTATTCTTTTCATTCTCCCAGTAATATAAGCTCCCTGCTACGAGGCCCATGGGAGAAAATGACAGACAGAGCATCAGACACTCAATGACCCACAGAAGACATCTGGACTCTAGTTCTACATCTTCTGGCTTCCCTTAACAGGCCCCTGAACTCACTGGCCCTCAGTCCCACACCCTCCAGTGCTGGGGTAACAATGGACAATGTCTGTCCTGAAACGGCAAAATAAATCCTTTGACTTAAACACTAGAAGCCAAGATGAATAGGAAAGGTCTTGACCTCCTTTGACAAAAGACAGCTGACCTGTTAAGAATAAAACTATAAAACTTTTTTTTTCATTTGGTGGGCCTAAACCTCTGCTTTGTTTTTTAATCACCTGTCATGATTGCTAACCTGCATGTGAACACTCCTTCTCGAAGGAGTCAGAAATACAAGCGTACATTGGCGTGGGGCTTCTGAGCTACAGCTTAAAAAGCTAGAGCTCCTTGGACTGGATTAAGTATATATCTATTATGATCAAAAAAAAAAACAAAAAACAAAAACCACTGCCTTTGAGTCTGTTCCGACTCAAAGCGGCCCTATAGGACAGAGTAGAACTGCCCCATAGGGTTTCCAAGGCTGTCATCTTTAAGGAAGCAGACTGCCATGTCTTTCTCCCGTGGAGCGGCTCGTGGGTTCGAATCTCCGACCTTTCTGTTAGCAGCCAAGCACTTCAACCACTGTGCCACCAGGGCTCCTTCTATTATGATAGTTATTACATATTGAAATTTGGAGCTTTGCTTTCTTTAAAGTAACAGGAACAAGATCTTGTATCCTGCCTACCATGTTCTTATAAAAGATAATACATCAAAAAATACCAAAAATTGAAAAGAAAATGCTGTTGAGTGTTCAAAGGCTTCCCTATCTGTGGTAGAGTGGATCAATATAGGGTTTTTGCACGAGAAGATCTGGACTGAAACACCAGTGCTGTGGCTGATTAGCTGTGAATGTTTGGAGGAGCCCCCTAATTTACTCAAGCCTTTGTTTCTGTCCATGAGGCAGGCAGAGCGCTACTCCTGATGGTTTTTATAAGAGTGAAATGAGGTGATATATTTAAAAGGGACTGACAAATAACGGGTGCTCAAGAAATGTAACAATACTAGTTACCTAGTTTATTTCACTGCTTCCAGGTCTAGCATGAATATATTTTTTTCCTAGCTCTTTACACAGATTTAGAATCCATGCACCTTCTAGTCAGACACAGCACGTCTTCCAGAAGTAACACTGCCACAATTCAGACTTCAAAACCTCTTTTGAGACAAAGATTAGACTGGACTATGTATGGGACATAAAAATGATACTCGTGAAGAGTGTGCATCTTAGCTCAAGTAGATATGTGAGACTAAACGGGCAGCTTCTGTCCGGAGATGAGATGAGAAGGCAGAGAAGGTCAGGAGCTGATTGAACGGACACAGGAAATCCGGGGTGGAAAGGAGGAGTGTGCTGTCACAGTACAGGGAGAGCAACTAGGGTCACAGAACAATGCGTGTATAAATTTTTATGAGACAGACTAACCTGAATTGTAAACTTTCACTTAAAGCACAATAATAAAATGGTGGAAAAAAAAAAGAAAAAAAAACTTCTTTTGATAAGGACAAAGTCCTCGTTGACTCCTCTTTCAATTTTTTTTTTTTTTTTGCCAGATTTGTGTCTTTTATCAATAGATTTTAAAATTGATAACGAACAGGTTTTTTTTTTTTTTCTATACCTTGTAACTTACCTTCTCGGACCTCTGCCAACAGCATGCATCCCACTAACCAGAACCCAGGGACATATTTTCACACACGTATGGATTATACCTTCCAGTCAGAACACTCTACTACAAATATGGGACTCGGGATGGCCTGAGAGGCACGCAGGCACCAAGGCCCAGCCCGCGGTCTCCTGTCCACACAGGCTGCTATCATATTGCCACCATATGCCGTTTCCAGCCGACATCTGCTCCCATATGTTCCCACCAATAAGCAACCATGTTGTTTATTTTTACAGCCTTCTCCAGAGCCGTACAAAGGGAAAATTCCCTCAAATAACTGGTCAGCAAAGACAGGAAGCTACACTGGGTATAAACTGTTTGTCAGGAGATTAGCAAGTCAAACAAACTTCTCTCATTCACAGCTGATCTTTAAAAAGAGATGCTGAAAGTTATCTTAAATAAAAATCTCACCGAATATAACCAGATTAAGGCAGAATATGCAGCGTGAGGCACTTAACAATACTTTTTCCTCAAAACGATGGCCCTATGCATTTCTTGGGGGGATTTCACTCCTTTCCCTGGGAAACAGCACCTTCTTCAGGCCAGTGTATGTTTTGGTGCAGAAAAAGGACAATTCTACTAGCTGAATTCAGAACTTGGAAATCTCCCAAGGTCACCCAGGTCATATGAAGTCTGTGGGGACAAGGCAAGGTAACTACCATCAGCAGCCATTTCCAGCAGGCAGTTCTCAAGTATGCACCTGTGGTTTACTTTCACCCCGGTATAAAGGTGCAGTATGAAAATCTATTCTTTTCTTTCTTGGTTTTGTGTGTGTGTGTGTGTGTGTGTGTGTGTGTGTGTGT